GGGGTGCAATTTGAAAAGTGATTGTTTCTTTATTCCATTTTTCTGACATTTCATTGTTAGTGTAAAGAAATGCCACTGATTTCTATATATTAATCTTGTATTCTGCTACCTTGCCAAATTCTTTTATGAACTCTAGTAGTTTTTGTGTGGAGCTTTTAGGGTTTTCTATATACAATATCAAGTTATCCGCATAAGTGACAGTTTTACCTCTTCCCTTCCAAGTTGGATTCCTTTTATTTATTTTTCTTACCTGGTTGCTATGACTAGGACTTTGAATACTATGTTGAATAGAAGTAGTGAGAGTGGGCATCCTTGTCTTGTTCCAGATTTTAGTGGAGAGCTGTTCAGTTTTTCACTGTTGAGTATTATGCTGGCTGTGGGTTTGTCATAAATAGCTTTTATTATGTTGAAATATGTTCCCTCTGTACCCACTTTGGTAAGGATTTTTATCATAAATAGGTGTTGAATTGTATCAGATGTTTTTCCTGCATCTTTTGAGATGATCATATGATTTTTGTCCTTTTTTTGTCGATGTAGTGTATCACACTGATTGATTTGCATATGTTGAACCATCCTTGCGTCCCTGAGGTGAATCCAACTTGATTATAGTGTATGAGCTTTTCTATGTGTTGTTGGATTCTGTTTGCTAATATTTTGTTGAGGATTTTTTCATCTATGTTTGTCAATGATATTGGTCTGTAATTTTCTTTTTTGGTAATGTCTGTTGGGTTTTGGTATCAGGGTGATGGTGGCTTCGTGGTGTGCCTGGCCAGAGGTTTGTCAATTTTGTTTACTCTTTCAAAAACCAGCTCGTAGCCTGATTGATTTTTTTCTATTTTTTAATCTCTATTTTATTTATTTCTTCCCTGATCTTTATTATTTCTTTCCTTCTGCTGACTTTCAGTTTTGTTTGCTCTTTTTCTAATTCTTTTAGGTGATAGGCTACGTTGTTTATTAGAGATTGTTCTTGTGTTTTGAGAAAGGCCTGTATCACTATGAATTTTCCTCTGAGGACTGCTTTTGCTGCATCCCATAGATTTTGTGTGATTATGTTTTCATTGTTGTTTGTCTCGAAGTATTTTCTAATTTCTTCTTTGATTTCCTTGTTGACCCATTGGTTTTTTACTACCAATGTTTAGTCTCCATGCAGTCTTTTTTTTTTCTTCTCATTTTGTTCTGTGGTTGATTTCTAGTTTCATGCCATTGTGATCTGAAAAGATACTTGAAATAATTTCTGTCCTCTTAAATTTGTTGAGGCTTCTTTTGTGCCTGATGTGGTCTGTCCTAGAGAATGTTCCATGAACACTTCAAAAG